TGCTCCTCTTTATCACCGTCATCTGCTCGATGTTCTAATGGCCAGTGCTTGGTCCTGCTCGACTGTACCATTCGACCTTATCTTTACTAGACCGTCTTACAAATCGGTCGGTCTCCTTTGATTAGCCCTATAAACCGGTCCAGTATATAATATCCCATATCAAGGTGTTTTCGAAATTTTTCAAGGCTCGATTCGGAGGGTAAATCATTATGAAGAGGGCATCTCCTTTTTTAAAAAAAATAAATAAAAGACAAAATAGTTCTTTTGGGAGCGGTCCGTAGTAAAAAAAGGAGCGGTACTTAGTTTTTTGAAACTTTTACAAAAACACATCAAATTGGTCTCCAACCTTAACTTTATAAATTGCGGACGCCGATTTTTCATATAAATCAAATATAAAACGTGGATTCATCTGATAGGCTGAACATATTAATTGCAGAAAAAAAAAAAAAAAGGGGTGTCTATATGTACACCCCTTGTGTGTAAAAAAGGGATGTACATATAGCATTGCCCTTTGTGTAATTTATTAAAAGGGGGTGTACATATGGCATTGCAAAAAAAAAGACCGAAAAATCCCACCCATAACCCCATTTAGTTCACCGAAAAGGACAGCTCAGCGAAAATTCCGTAGGGCGTGACACCTGGTAATAACACACGTCCATCACGTGGGACCACTGGACCATTTAAAAGTTGCGAAGTTTGTTCCCACTTTCATTATTTAAAAAAAAAAAAACAAACATGACTTGACTCAAATGTTAAGCAACTTGATATCCTTTAAGCAATGTTTAAGGTTCGAGGCATTGTGAATTCAGAAAACCCTCGTTGAGAGACTTAACCACTGTCAGTGGGTGCAACCAGGGTCGACCAACGAATTAGTCGGAGTATAGCTCCGGATAGCTCCGGATACCATGGCTGTCTACCAAAAAAAAGTATATTATATCTTTTCTTTCAACGTGGGACTCGCCTCCTGCTGACACGTAGTCCCTTTGGGTTTCCCAAGAGTCGTCTTCATTTCTCCATTGATTTTCTTGCTCCAAAAAAAAAAAAAAAATTAATAAAAGTAAATCAAGAAACCCCCTTTTTTTTCTCTCTCTTTTCCCTTAGCATCAATTATATTCATCAATCGATTGTCTGTCACTACTTTTACACTGTTTTGTTTTGAGACGGTAAGCAACTCACTCACGACCCTCCCTTTTACTTTGATTGCGTATCAGATTATTACACTTTGCTGGGCTTGCTCTGTTTTTTTTTAGCTTATTTTTTTCTTGGTGGGTGTTGAGATGTATGTACACTTTTTCTTTAATCATGTATTGTTTCTTTTCAAACTTTTTTTGAATCTATGCATAGATTGATAGGTGTCCTCTTTTTCGTTTATAATTTATTTTTTATTTTG